TTGCGTGCTGTTGATTGTTTCCCCGTTCCTACTACTAAAAAGGAGTTGATGAGATTTTTGGGGATGATTGGATATTATCGCAGTTTTTGCGCGAATTTCTCGACTGTAGTTGCGCCTCTTACTGATTTATTGAAGGCCAAACGTAAGTTTGAGTGGTCTTCAAATTGTCAGCGGGCGTTTGAAAACGTGAAACTTCTGCTGAGCACTGCTCCTGTCCTAGTTGCGCCCCGGTGGGATCGAGTGTTTCAGATCCAAGTAGATGCAAGCCGGGTGGGTGCAGGAGCGGTATTATTACAAAAGGATGACAATGGAGTTGATCGGCCAGTTAGTTTCTTTTCTAAGAAGTTTAACTCGTATCAACTAAATTACTCTACGATTGAGAAAGAAACGTTGGCTTTGGTGTGGGCGTTGCGGCACTTCGATGTGTATGTGGGGGGTGGTTCAATGCCTATAGTTGTGTTTTCAGATCACAATCCGCTCACGTTTTTACAATCTTGGCGAAGTCCTAATCAGCGACTTATCCATTGGGTTCTATTATTACAGCCGTACAGTTTAGATATTCGCCATATTCGAGGGCGGGATAATGTTATGGTGGATGCCTTGTTCCGTTCTCCGGTTGATGAGTAAAACGAACTGTTGTAAGTGTTGGTTGCCTTTGACCTTGGTTCTTTTAATTGTTTAGTGTTTTTAAGGCGCCTGAAGATACTGAACAATGGAGTTGGGGTAGGTGATGAAAAGAACGGGGGGGGTAAGTGACATTTGTATGACAGTCCACAAATTATGACTGTTGGAGGTAAACTTGTGATTGTGTATATTTTTGTTTGGTTTATAGTATTTGGGTCTGCAGAGTTCCCTTTTAGGGGCCTCTGTTTAAAGAGGGGGGAGGTGTTACGGCTCAGTGTGTTCTCTTACTAATATTTGTCCACTAGGTGGTGGTGTTCCGTGGTTTTGCCTCTCTTTCAGAGCGAGCGTCAGGTACAGGTGTGGAGTGTTACCTGTGATTGGCATTTGGGTTTAAAAGACGGAGATTCAGAGAGCAGTGAAAAGCGGGACTGGGGTGCCGTTCATCTTCCCTCTCCAGGACTGGATTGTTTTCTTTTGTTTGTTCTTTTCTTTCTTTATACTTGTACATACTTTTGTGTTATTTGATTTATTCTTGATTAACTGTTTTTGTTAAACTTAAGTCTTCTGTGTGGCCTCCCCTTTTTGGTAATGTTACTTCACCCAGAGCCAGCTGGTTGTAACAAAAAAAAATAAAAAAATAAAAATAAATATATATATATATACACTGACATACATACATACATATACATACACACACACATATATATATATACACACACACACACACACACACACACACATATATATATATATATATATATATATACACACACACACACATATATATATAATTGTATACAAACAATTATTATTGTTTCAGAACAGAAATGTTAAGAAATGACTGTTACATTATTACAGTGTGTTACAGCTGGCCATTTTGAACAAAGTACCAACCAGCACAAACTATTTCTGTGAGAAAGGCCTCTTGTGAATGGATCATCATGATAATGGGTTTATTTGAATGAATGTGGAGCAAAAGCTGCTCTCCAGCACAAATATTTACATTTCCACCCATTGATGGGTCAGAAAGTGCTGTGCTTTTATTCCCGTGTACAGTGAGGTCAGAATCATTCACTGTTCTCCGCTAGGAGTCATTTACAGAGTAAACACACCTGAGAGAGAGGAAGACACATTTACAGTCATGATGCCTCTGGATAATCAGACCAACAACCACCCTAATATTATCTGCTGACGTGCAGAGGACACATCACACTTGCTCTCAAAATGTTTCATAGCAGCATCTACTATCATAAAACATTTTATAATTTTATAAAGATAATTGTGAATCTGGAAGCTGTCTTTGATGTTTTGTAGTTTAAGTAGGAGATTTTTAAAGCACTGCTTCTTCAGCCTCCCCTCCCCTCTCTGAAGATGTGCATTTTGAAACCAAACACACTACAAATATATTGAATTGAATATTTCCGTATATTTTCTGTCTTTGGCATTATGTCCCAATACACCTACAACCTCCTCATCCTGGCCGACAGACATCAATTATTCATCTGCTCTTGTCAGACACTGTGTCTATGTTCACCATTTGAAATGGATCATCTTTCAGAGTAAAAATTGAATTTTCTTCTCAGAGATGATGCATATGGAGAAAAGTCTGAATCTTCATGTCAGTTTCTTCACTAGTTGGTCAAACGGAAGATGCTTTTGGATTAGCTGTCAGTTGAAGCTCCTGTATTATTCATGCGCATCCTGAAGTTATTTTGACTCGCAGCGTTTCCTGTTTGTCATTAACATATTGACACGATCATATATGTGTCTGTGCGTGTGGGTGTGAGTGTGTGTGTGTGTGTGAGTGTGTGTGTGTGTGTGTGTGTGTGTGTGTGTGTCTGTGTGTGTG